GGGTGATGCCTTTATAAGCCAAGGAACACTAAAGATCGCTGGCAAACCAGCAGGAACAAGGAGAGAGGAATGGGACAGACTGTCCCTCGTGGCTCCCAGATGGAACCAACTCTACCGACACCTTGATTTTGAACGTATCGACTCCAGAACTGTGACAGTACATTTCTTTGCTTGTCACCCAGTTTGTGGTGCTTTGTTACAGCAGGCCTAGCAAACGAATACATCTTCATGGGGACGGAGAGGACTGAACTGGGGGTGGGAACCTTGTGCAGCTGAGCAGGGCTGCAGTAAGGAAGTACCGAGGTCAGCCTGCCTCTTCGGCACGAGGGCTGGAATGAGAGCTATGGACGATCCCAAGTTTGCTTTGTAGCTCTCTCAAGATGTGGAGTTGCTGACACTGTGAAATCCTCAAGCCCTATTGTTTTCATTCTCAGTCTGAAGTCAGAGCCCAGGGGGTGCCCTCCAGGAGCTGCGTATGCAACATGCTTTACATGTCAGAATCAGCTGCGAAATGAGTGGTTATTGCCTGTTTTTCAAAGCACAATTCCCACTGCTGGTCCATCTGACTCTTGCAAGAGAGGAAAGATACGTTTCCATGCCTTTGAGCAACTGAAGACTCGGTCAGAAAGAACTGCTTTAGTCACTGCTTGATGGCACTGTGTCTTGGAAATGCCAAGTACACTCCTGGACAGGTTGGGATCTTTCGCAATACAGACTGTTGATGCAGAATAACTTAGCTGAGCACTTGGTTAATTCCCTGTCTTCTGTCTTCTCAGTCGGACCCCAGCCTGCAGATACAGGTTTGAAGCCTCAGCAGAAATTGTAAATGTTGAGTGTGTGTGTGTGTGTGAGGGAGAGAGAGGGAGAAACGGGTGGAATGACTGACCTTGGATCTTTGATAGCTATTTAAACAAGATAGCCAATATTTGCAGATTGCCTTGAAAACTGTAGTGTTTCAAAATCATTTCCAGGGAGATTTTGAACTTTTATTAAGAAAAACAGGAAATGAGAGAATTGTAAACCCCAGGGAAGAAATCTGACATTTTGAGGCCACAGACCGACTCCCTCCGATGCACTAACAAGGACCGTAGGGTATCCTGTTGTGGGTCAAACAAATCCCGTTTGATGATGTAACATTCTCCCAGAAATATCATGGAATGACCAGAGAAGGCCGCACAAAAGCTCACGAAGCTCTTTAAGGCACTAGACTAGCACCCTCTGCTTGGACCAGCCCTTTCTGCCCCTAAGTCCTACACATTCCATGGATCAGGGAAAAAAACAAACTCATTGCATTTCCCTCTCCCAGCTGTTTTTTTTCCCCCTAACCCCTTCATTCCAAATTTCTTGCGGTGTGAGGGTCTTTGATCAGATACGATAAAGGAACAGTTTTTATTAGCACAGCTCATGGACATTTTGAGGGCCTATCACTGTCAGTGGGAGAAAGGCTTCTTTTCCAATGTAGATGCGCTAACGTGAAGAGCTGTTTTAGTCACTACTCACTGGGACTGCCCCTCAGTAGCGCTAAGACTTAAAGCCTGATTCTGTGATGTTGTCGGATAAGAACCCGCCACTAGCCCAGCAGTAGAGTGAGAGGGGGAGCTCGGATCTCAGGGGCAAACACTGCAGCTGGAAGTGTTCCTTCAGATGGAGGAAGGCAGGGGAGGGGTTGGGGGTGCAGAGGGAGAGAGTGAGAGTAAGGGGATTCCTGGGTCCCATTTAAGGAAGACCCGGATGATCTGGGAGGCAGTTCTATGGGAAAGGTCAAGAAATGCCTTGTCCCATCCTCCTGGTGGCTGATCAACTGCTAGGAAGATTGCGATCTTTCAGGGAAACAGACACCATCCGCATGGCCTTCTGGCCGCCGGGGGCGTCAGTGAGGGTTCTGAAAGACCCTCTGTTGGGACAGGATTTCATTTCAACATGTTTGGCACGAGTCAGCTCCTTCCTACATCAGCAGAGCTGCTTGTGTTTAGAATATCTAGGTCTGAAAAAAGCCAGCTTATCCAGAAACCAGCCCTTCCCACTATAGACTCTTCTCCTCTATCTTTGAAAATAAAATTAACTGCACAGTGATGGAGCAGAACAGTGGTTAAAGACATGGACTCTAGCGGGGAGCGTATAGCTCAGTGGTAGAGAGTGTACTCAGCATGCACGAGGTCCTGGGTTCAGTCCCCAGCGCCTCCATTATGAATGAATAAATGAATAAGCCTAATTACTCCTCACAAAAAGAAAAGCTGAACTCTGATGTCAGACTGGCTGGGTAACACTGTCCCAGCTGTGTCTCTTGCTACCTGTGTGACCTGGGAAAACTACACGACCACACGTTGCTTCAGTTTCCTCGTTTACGAAATGCGAACGTGAACGGTACTTACCACGAGGGTTGTTGTGAGACATAAATGAGTTAACACACAGAAGACAGTTCCTGGCACATAGTAGTTATTGCCTGTCAGCCTCACAATCATCATCATCATCATTGTCTTCATCATCATCATCCTCATCACCACCATCATCAGCATTATCACCATCACTACCACCATCATCACTGTCATCACTGTCATCATCATCATCATCACTGCTCTATGACCCACGGTAAGGAGCTTTAATGTGCCCCCAGTAACCACCATTCTATTTTGATTTGGCTGCACATGTTCCTGCGAGTGAGAAGAAATATGCCTGGTGGTAGGTCCCAGTACCAGTGCTTAATAGCAGCCGGTTCACCTCCCTCTCCTTCTAGGCACATGGAAGGCTTCTGCCTGGAACATGGGCAGGGCCATGTGAGTAGTTGTGGTTGGTGAAATGTGATGGATATGGTTAGTGTCATCACTTCTGGGCTGAGATGATTAAAAGCCCAAATGTGATTCTTCACTTTCTTTTCCTTTATCACAGCAACTGAGAAGCTCAGGTGTTCCAGAAATTGCAGCTCTACGATGGTCGTTCATCTATTAGCTTGGGTCCTCCAGTGACAACGTGGAACAGATCCGCACTGACTCTTACTCCATATGCAGCATGAACAAGAAGTAAACTTTCATAGTGTGAAGCCACTGAGATTCAGGAGTTATTACCCCAGCAGAGCCTTGCCCAGGAGTTCTCAGTCCAGTCTGCTTACCTGGGGACAGGTTAGAAATGCAAATTCTCAGTCTCTACCCCATATATACTGAATCAGAGACTGAGGGTGGGGCCAGCAATGTGGATTTTAACAAGCTCCCCAGGTGAATTTGATGCAGATCAAGTTTGAGAACCACTACTCTTACCTGTCCTGAATAAAACATGTGGCAAAGGCCGGGGACAGCTCCGGCTTCTCAGCCCCCAGTTATACAGGGACTTTGCCCCTGTAGGTGGTGGCTGTTTGGGCTTTACCTCTTCCCATTGGTAGAGATATTTAAGCACCAGCTACTTCAGAATAGTTAGCATCACATAAATCACGGCCCAGGGAATTTACTTGAGGTCAACACACTGCTGGGAAATGGGTTCACTGATGCTTTAAGAAGGCAAACACTTTCTAGTTCTCTTAGGTGTGTCTGAAACGGTGGGGTTTATTGCTCTCTTTCTTACTCTCTGCTCTATAGCCCCAGGGAAGATATGGAAGATGAGCCCTGTTTCACCGAGAAGGAAAACGAGGCTCCGAGTGGTCCAGTTATTAATCCACGGTGTGGAGACATAGCACTGCGCTACAGCCCTGGGGTTCTGCCTGGCACAAGAAGATACTCAGCAAACGGTTGCAGAAGAATGAAGATACAAGAACACGGGCTGGCCGGACACTTTGCTTAAATGTCTGAGCTTAGCTGTGTCTCAGTCCTGGTGCTGTGCCTGGGTGGGTCCCACCAGCACCAAGGCGGCATCTTGGCAAAGGGCAGCGCAGGAGGGACAAAGGAAAGGGCTGAGCAGGAGCAATCTATCTGATCCAGCCCTTTCTGAGCCCTTTGCAGAGCTGTCCCAGAGAAGTGAGAGCCTGTGGTCAGCAGAGGGCAGTATTGTTCCAACAACTACCGTGTGGGGAGCAGGATGCTCGCTCCCATCCGCGTGGACAATTCTGAAGGAATTGACCGAGGCCAGAGAATCTGGTCCGTTTGAAACACAAAAATAGCAAACAAGATGGACACCTTCATACCCACCACCTCTATTAGACAATGAGCGTTTCCTACATAGTTCTTTCAAATTTGCTGTCTGAAAGATTTCATAATAAAATGTTAGACGAAGAAAGAGGACAAAGCCCGAAGCCGTGCTACCTCACTGCATTAGTGAGTAGCTCGCCCATCTGGACCAGTCCTGCAGACGCTGGACGTGTGCAATGGCATCAGTCCTTATTAAGTGCCTCATGCTTAATGTTCATCATATTCTCGCTGCTCAGAGATCTCTCCCCAAGAGCGCCCTTGCTGTCTTTCCTTCCCTGCCATTCCTTCCTCTTTCTCTCCTCGCACTCTCTCCTTTATCCCTGTGTTTAGGCATGAGTCTAGGTGGATGGCTGATGGGTTAGCAGGGCCAGGTACTGGGGGAGGTGTGAAAGACACAACAGATGCCATCCTGTAAGAATTTAGTCTTGGAAAGACAAACCCACAGAAGCCGAACTTAGAGGAGAAAGGCTGGAGGACATTTAAATCATGTTCTCTGAGCCACAGGACAAATACAGGCTTAAGCCTCTGACTCAGACCTTGGCAAGAGGCTCTGAACTTCTTCAGGATTTCTGCATCATGCACTTTCTAGAATGCACCTCTTCCATATCTCCAAACGCCTCGCAAGGTCTTCCAAGGTAAAGCTCATCCCTATACCTAAGAGAAAAAGGGACAGATTCCTTAATTTGGCTGTGAGAAGGTACTCCGGCTCATCCAAGAGGTTGCAGATGAGCCTCCCCCTGGTCTTGCTATAATCCATTCTTACATCCACCCGAATCATTCCAAGGCTCTGTGACCCATGGGTGACCTAGAGTTGGGTCAGGTCTCCTAGGACCACTCCAGCGGAGGCAGGGCTTCGCCAGGATCTAAGTCAGCCTGGCTTCCTGGCCCCAGGCACCAGCTGAGACTTCTGAGATGGGAGCTATTTCCTACTGCGCTGCTGCCGGAAGGAGCCAGGATGCCCCACTGGGATCTGGGTGTTGGGAGGTGAGAGGCACCATTAGCAGCCATGGCTACACTGGCATTGGGAGATTAATGAGTCTTTTTGAGTAACAAATGTAGATACAGCCAACTGTTGGCAATTAGTGAGAGCAAAGCCGTGCTGCGCTTCGGCTCTGTCAGCTGGGACCCCTGAAGGAGCAGAACAGCAGGAAGGGCAAGACAGAAAGGGAGAACTGGACTTCCACCTTCCCCGTCTTAGGCTAGCCCTCTCGGTCTGTCCTGACCCTGAGCTAAGCCTTCTGTAATCAGAGCAATCTGATAGGTGCCACTTTGATTTGCCACACCTAGAAGGCCATGAGGGTCCGTAAGAGGTCATGCTGTCCCCCATCCTGTCTTGACTTAGGACCACAAAGGAGCGCTTCTCAAAGTTGAATCGGAGCATCGATCACCTGCGAACCTGGGAACCTTGCTCCCAGGTGGTTGCCGATGCTCCTGAACCAGGGACTGCACTTTGAGTCTCAAGGCCCATAGCACCAGGGAAGAAGGGAAGGGTTGAGAGAGAACATGTATTTCGGTTAAGTTGAGACCTTAGAGTTCGTACTTCATTTCTCATTTATTTGTTCATTCAGCAGTGTCCAGTCTGTGCAGTTGGTGCTAGAGCTGGATTCACATGTACGGCTACAGAGATGGGGTAAAAAGAGCCTGGAGTAACCAGAGCGATGCCCTGGGGTTAACAGGAGGAGCGTGGTTGGTGTGGGGGGGTGGTGTGCAGGTCACACTAGGGTGGGCTGCCGGAGGCTGCAAGAGCCCGTGCCCTTCCTAAAGTTGCAATGACTGTAGCCAACAGCCAGGCAGGCAAGGGGGAGAGAGAAGTGATGCTCACATCGTCTTCTCTTTCAGAGAGAAAATGCATCCTAAAAGCAGTGGGAGTTAATTTGCTCTTCTGTAATCAATCACCCTGGACAGAAGCAAAAACACACCACAGCAAGCCCAGAATGGCTGAGAGGAGGTGCTTGGCTGGCAGGCAGGGAGAGGACCCTGTAGAGAGGATGCTTTTCTCTTTATGGATTTAAAATAAAATGAATCTTAAGGACATATGGCATCTGTGCGCATGTGTGTGTATGCGTATGCGTGTGTGTGTGTGTGTCGAGGCGGGAGTCACGTCTAAAGTGGTGCCAATCTTCCCCAGACTTCGAAGCCGTCTGCAGCTCACCCTGTTGCTGGGCCTCTATTTTGATGCATATTTGGGCATCAGGAAATGATGACTTCAGGAAAGGCTTCTCAGTACTCCTCTCTCTGGTAAAGGTACCCTGGAGGCAAGGAGTTTCCATTTACCTCTGTGATCGCTGGATAGCTTCTGTTTCCTCCTGAGCCTCAGTTTTCTTCCCTGTAGAATGGGGAGGTTCATTCTCCTTTCTCTACCCACATTGCTGGACAGGAGGGAAAGGGGGGTGTGGCTGAAACTGATGTAAGATGAACTCCAGGAGAACCCGGTGCACTGGTTATTTCCGTCTGGGTCTTGAGCTTGGGGCAAAAACAGCCCAAGCTAGTCTCACGCGGTAGTTTTCGGGAACGCTGTGTGGTACAGTGTGCTGTCCCGGCTGCCCCATCTCACTGCTCAGAGATGTGCCCCTAACCAGCACCTTTCCTCACTTGCTCTCTTTCCTTCCCTGTCCTTTTCTCTTTGTGCTCTCCCTTCTCCTCAGACTCCTTTACCTCTGTATCTAGTGTCATCGTATTTTTCAGATTGAAAGTTGGGATACAGTCTGACAGTGGTTCAGGGTCTTTGCAATCTGGGCATTTAAGGGCATTTTAGAATGTATGATTGCTCTAAACAGCCTTATTTATACTTCTTCCTTTGCCCTTCTGCTGCTCTGGGCTATAACTACATGGTCACAAGCCACCCAGTTGGGGTCAACGTGATGCCAAATATCCAGATGTTTAAATATGTCCAGATGGTACATATAATTTTTGCAGTTTTGCTTATTATTCTGGGTGCTTGGATCCCTGTGGACACAATTCAGTAAAAACAAATAGATGGATAAAGAAAGATAACCTCTATAACCCAAGCAGTGAGTTGTTTAGCATTTTGTTTTCAAAACAACTGGTAGACAGATTGGGATATTTTTCCTTCCTGCTGGCATTGTTTTAGTGGTATGCTATGCAGACTTCACATAAGTTGTCTCTGACCAAGGTGTCTGGGGACCTTCCTAGAAAAGAGATTCTTCCAATGGAAGAACTGCCTGAGGAAGAAACATCATAGCTTGGTTTTCTGGAACCACAGGGTCTGTGTAATAGTGAGTGGAGTCCCTCAACCAAATCCTTATCACACTGTCCATCATCCACACATCTACTCTTGTACCCATCCATCCTTCCATCCATCCACCCATCCATCTGTCATCCACTCGTCTACCCATCCATCCATCCATCATCCACCCATCCACTCATCTTCCCATTCATCCTTCCATTCATTCATCCATTCATCCATCCACCTACATCTTTACCTACCCACCTGCTTTTCTTTCCTCCCTCCCTTCCTCGTTCCTGCCTGCCTTCCTCATTTTTCTACTCCAGAACTTTTATGTCTCCTATGTGCCTTGCATGTGCTAGGTACTAGTCCTTACCTGCTAGGACTCACAACATGTTAGGTGAGACAGATCTGCACACAGCTGTTAAAACACAGTTGTAGAGCTTGCACATTTGCCCCCCAGACCTGTCTCTGGACAATCCCACCTTCTCCCCCTGGCTTCACATTTCCCCTCCTCTCCATGGTGGGGACACTGTCTTCAGTGTTCACAGCATCTTAGAGAAGGGCTGCTCCTTTGTGGTCTTTAGATCTCAAGTATGGGTGGCTAGAAGAAGGAGCGATTTATATATAAAATTTGAGTGATGTCCTTTTCTCTCCTCACCCTCTAGAGTTCTTAAGTCATGTTTCTGCACAGAATAGCAGCTCTCCCGTCTAGGAGCGCAGCAAACCTCTGATGAGGTGAAGGATGCTTCTTTCCTCCAAGTGTCCTGCCCTCGCATCACCACCTACCCAGAGGCAGCAGATGGACAGGGAGGCAGACCCATTTATTTATTTCAGCTCTGGCTGGGGTCTAGACTGGTGGGAGAATGTAACCAAGAGAAGGCTTGTGGCTTTTGGAGCTTAATTAAACATATTTACAAAATCTAGGGCTGGTTAACCAAAGAGGCATAGAGACAGAGGCGTGTATTGTGTTATAAGATTAATAAACCAATTAAATAAAGATTGCGGCAGCTTGGCAGCCCCATTGGGGCAGGAGGCGAGTTTGACAGCTGCTCTTTCCTGATGATTGTCACATATTTTAGAAGAAAAGACAGCCTACGCTTCTCCCCCTTCCTTGAGAGAATACCCCAGGCTGTTGTCCTGTCTAATCTCTCACACTGCTAGTCAAGTTGTTTTCTAAGCTGTAGGTCGAATGTCATGTTTAACCAACTGATGAAAAAGAAAACAAAAGCATTTTCTTCTCTTCTAATCCTTAAAAAAAAAAAAAAAAAAGCTCCAGTCTGAGACCATTTATTTCTCCCTGTGATGCCCCGTTCCTGGGAGCAGCGGAATAGGGGAGGCAGGGGAATTCTGGGAGTCTCAGCAAGCAACTGTCAGAGTTAGCAATCTCCTCCAAAGCTTGGGCCCTCTCAGGATCAAATCGCTGTTTGGATTTTTGCCTGCGTTTTATTGGTTTAAATGCCTCCCCTCCCCGCCATTGCCTGGGGCATAGTTAGTGAGCACAGACCTATTTGCAAAGTCCAGTGAAGACCCTTCTTTTCTGAAGCAACAAACTAAGTACCCCTTTCAAGGAATAGCAGTGAGGGTGAACCCCAACATGCTCCTCTTTCCTCAAGATCTACAGGCACTCCCCTTCACATCCATTCAGAGGCCGGGGCTCAAAGTCTTCCTGATTAAAACTGTGAGTGAGACTATGGGCACACGGGTCCCCCATGATGGGATGTATAAGTTAGGACCCTTCACCTTCGGTGATACCCAAGATCACTAAGCATGTGAGGAGCGTCTTCCTGGGCTCAGCTGTGTGGTCACTGTGCGCTTTGGGGGCCGCTGGTGTTGCATCAGCTGCCTCGGTTTAGTTTTTACAGCTGTCAGACTTGCTCTGATCAGGAGATTGTAGAATGCTGGCGGGGTGGGGCAAGTGTCAGGAAAGAGTTGAGGCATTTATTTCTTTTATTTGCAAAAAAAAAAAAAGTGGGGGATAGTAATTGTATAATGATTATAATTAAAAAAATCAAATCTAATAAAATTATTATACTAAAGTCAGTTCTGCCCACTTTATAAAACTGGCAAAGAAGCAAGGTGAATAATGTCTTGGAGAATTCTGGAAAAAAAAATACGAGTATTTGCAGTTATCAGGCCGTTCTTGGATTCCTTTCTGGAACAAAATAGGGAATAAATGAATGGATCAGATTGACCTGGAACTTACCGGTTTTGATCTTCTCAAGCTGTTAAACCTCTTAGAGCTTCATTTTAAGTGGACATGATAATATCTGAGGTCAAAAGTGTGGACTTTGGTGTCATTATCAGGCTTTCTCACTTACTAGTCACTTACTTTTGAAAGATTTATTTGAGCTTCATTTTTCTCATCTGTAAAATGGGAATAATCATAATTCTTACCTAATAGGATTATCATAAGGACTGATTACTATCATTCATGTAAAGTTTACAGCTTAGTGTCTGGTACATAGTACTTGGCATAATAATAATAACTATCATAACCTTAATTATTCTGATGGATAAATGAGATTATGTACATAAAGCATTCCGCACAGTATCTGGCACACAACAAGTGCTGAATAAATAAAGGGCCCCACCTCTTCTGCCTCCTAAATGAATGAACCAGTCTATGCATGAGAAACCTGGCCTGAAGGGGTTTCCCATTGAACGAAAGGCTGTTGTAACGGAGAGTGGACAGAGCTGGAGAGGTTCCCATGCCTTTGAAAGCTCTGGTCCACAGGGTCGCTGATTTCTCTGGGGGAAAGAAATGCCTGTAAGGAATCAGGTGGGAGAACAAGGTGGAAGATCCCCATCCTGCGGGAAGCCCAGAGCTGGCTGCCAGGACCCCTCCTCAGCCCCAGGCTCAAAGGCGGTGCGCTTCGGTTTGGCTCACATGCCTTCCAACTATCCTAAAATCTATGTAGCGCCGTGCCATCCTTAAGTTAACAACTACAGCTTTCTCCGTAAGTTGAAACCGTTCCAGAGGATATGATTGCAGGGTATTATAAACACTGACTCTTTAAAATGAAACCATTATCACTTGTTAAATGCATTCAGTGACATCTAAATACCACAGTGCGTTGATATCCATTAATGAAAAAGAATATGAAAACGACTATATGTATGTATATGTATGACTGGGACATTGTGCTGCACACCAGAAACTGACACATTGTAACTGACTGTACTTCAGTTAAAAAAAAAAAAGCCTGTGAGCAAACTGTTTCTTTACCATTGGGAACTTTGGTTTCATTCTCTTTCTTATGTCATCTTGCTATTCTGTCTCCCACAGAATTCTGTTCATATGTAGTACGTTTCTATGCTTGATAGTCCTTTACTGACCACTGAATACGCATTTCTGAAATAATATTATGTATGTATTATGTAATATTTTAATTTATTTTTAATAGTGATAAAAACAAATAAAATTTACCACCTTAAGTGTTTTTAAGTGGCGTTAAGTATACAGACATTGTTGTGTTTAATATGAGTTTTTAACATTAAAATATTTCCAGAAGGTTCTAAATGTTAAAATTAATTCTTGGATAAGTGATTATTTTACTTATTATCAGTGCACAAAAAATAACATAAATATAACATAAGTTTTGTCAATAGTTAAATAGTAAACATTTATTGGGACTATATTTCTTAATAAGATTAACGGCATTCTCCCAATTAAATAATAAATATTCCTTATTGCTGGAATGAGAAATGGTGATACATCAATTCTATTCTTATTTGAAAACTGTTTTGTTTTTTATAGATGTGAATTCTGAGAAATCTTTCTCAGCTGAGTAAGTTGATAGGAACAGGAGATATTTTATTTTGATAATTTCATTAATTATTCAAA